CCAAAGAGAAGAGCCCTGTGTATGTGATAATATTATTTCTGTGTATGTGATAATATTATTTCTGTGACATCCAGGAGGTGTAGAAGCACCAGCAGAATCAGGATCCTCTGTCCAGTCTGTTAGCAGAAGCAGTTCACGCAAACGGGGAAACCTCGGGATTTCCGCAGATACCTGCTCGTGCTGTTGCGTGCTGGGTCTCTGGTGCCTTCGTGTGGGAAAGAAATTGTAACCAGTTAGTGTAAAAAAAACAGTTAACGTAGCGAAGGAGACACGGGGAGGTGACTTGCTTTCACCTCGGCGATTTCACTGACTCAGGTGGTTCAGCCTCTTTACCTGGGGTTTTAAAAGAGTTTAATTAGAAGGCAGTTTACTGATGTATGGAGGTTTTTTTTCCCCTCAAAATGTTATGGTAAAAATGACTCATAGGAATAATTTAATCTATCGTTATCATTTATTAATGTTTAACTTCTTAATTTTTTTTTTTACCTGCTTGAATTTTGATTCATTGATCCATTTTGGTCTCCTCGTTATTTCGGGATGTAGCGCTGATGAAATAAGACACTTTATTTCTCTCTTTCATTAGCAGTCGCCCTACGGTGTGTTCTTTGTGACACAGCACCTAGAGCTTTTGACTGTTGGTTTAAAAAAAAAAATATCTTGTAAGTTTATTTTCTAACAAAAGTAAGTTACATAGTTACCTACTGTTCTAGTAGCATTGCCTCTCCTATCTTGTTGACCCGTTGTTGCAAGATTTGATAGAGAGACATGCATGCCCAAGGGGTTTTAGCTCTCAAATATTTTTTAGAGCAACTGGACTAATTAAGGAAGAGGTTTTAATTAGGAGCCTGGTTATCTTTTGCATTTGGTCTCTCACTGTCCAACGGGAAACACGTGTCGTTCGCACCCTGTCCTCACTGTAGCTGAGGAGTACAGGGAGAACCTGGGGATATGGTGGGAGACTTGGTTTGAGTGTAGTAGCGAAAGAGAGGTTAAGAAGCCACTAGAGAATAGGAAGGATGGGAGTGTTATGGTATAGTATTAGGAAAGCAAATTTTACTACTTTGGCTTTTTTTTTTTTTTTGCTTCTTTTTATTTATTTTTATTATTGATAGGCCCTAATTTTGCAGTAATATGAAATGAAAAGTAGTTACCTGCCTTGCGTGTCACGATTATGACCTTGGCGTAGGTTTAATATCGCTGAGATGGTTAAACTTACGCAGGGTCAGTCCTTAACTCTAGGTGTGAACTCTTCCTGTGGCTGGACTCTTGCCGTTAACAGCAGGGAAGTGTCTGACTGAGCACATTTAAGTGTCTGAGCACATTCATCTCTCACTTGAGAGGACGTCGAATGAATTCCAGAGTTATGCATGTGTAGAAGTTACAGTGAGACGCAACCAAAGACTTGCCAACCAGCTGTATTCGAAATAATTTGAAATAATTTTTTTAAAAATAATTTTTTTACAAAAACACTTCACCTCTACATATAGAAAATAATATCGTTCTGTATTTTGAACTGCATTCCATTGTTCAGTGCTTTTTGTAAATTACTCTCCTAAAGCATCATCTTGCAGCAGTTGCCACATCTGGGTTCTGTCTACCTGATCCAGATCTTGCTGTGTTTTCTTCTGGGCAGGTTGTCTATTCCGAACAGTAGGTATTTTAGACCATATCTACCTTTTGCAGTGAAACAAAATAAAACCTGCTGGGGAATAGCACTGGCGTTAGGGGGATTTTGCTGATAACAAAATAAATGAGGGAGCTGATAACCTGAGTTTTTTCCTTTCCTGACTTCTTGCTTGAGTACTTTGGAAACGCAGGGACACACTTCACAAAACCGGTTGCGCTGTTTTATGACATAGGGAAGTCCTAAATTGAAGATATCTCTATGATATTGAATTGCCACGTTTTGACTAAAAAAATCACTGCCTTTGTATGCATTTTGTACTGGATTAACATATTTTCCAAATAAATTCTAAATATGAACAATTGTATCTCAGTTGTAGCATTTTCCATGGGACATATGTAAAAATGCTGTTCCTTTTAAGCTTTTCTATTATAAAAAATCTTAAATTTTCAATTGTTTATGGCAAGTACATGCAGCTCTAATATTTGATATTTGTAATCTGTGATGTTCTGGTTCAGAATGACAAATTATTCAAAGCATTTTAAGATGCAAATACAATACTTCGAGTCACACCGCAGTGAAAAATGCTGGACAGAGTAATCCAGGTTTATCTGATTAATCTCTGTGAACATGAAAGGTAACTTTAGCCAAAATATATGTAAAATTACAAATGCCTCGTTACTGAAAAGCTGTTGTTGAAAATCACGTAATGAGCAATTTTCAGTTGGGAATTTGATGTTACTTTCCATTTTGAAATGCTGGCCATAATGTTTCGAAGCAGAAGTCGGCATCGCAAACATGCTTAAATGTGGAAATCAGTTTGGAAAAACATTAAAGCTCCACTACTTTAAAAGTGTATAAAATATCCAACAAATGTATATGTCAAAGGTGTTGATGTCAGTGTTTGTTTTTTAGCGATTGTCAAACAGATTCAAGTACGTTTGGTTTAGAAATATAATGGAAGCACAGCACAATTATTTCATGTGACGTTCCTTGTCAAATAATGTCACACGTTATATAGCAGACAGATGAAAGCCAACGGTTTCTTGACAGAGGTGACTAAATTATTCATAAATCTTGTATCTCCGTTTTACTGAAATTTAAATATTATTCATTGTGTCTTGAAAGATAGTTACTAACTATAAGTTAGTAACTTACAGTCTTTTCCACTTAAGGTAAAAAATAGTTCCTACCTCTTTTTAAGCTTTAAATGCCTGCAAACATGTATAAATTTATTTTTTAGAATGACTCACAGACTTTAGTGCGTCCGACTTCATAATGGTTATGACTTTTTATAAGGGCATGTGATGATAGAACAGGGGGCAGCGGTTTTACACTAGAGCAGGGTAGATTTAGATTAGACCTTAGGAAAAAGTTCTTTACTGTGAGTGATGAGACACTGGCACAGGTTGCCCAGAGAAGCTGGGGATGCCTCATCCCTGGAAGCGTTCAGAGCAGCTGGATGGGGCTTTGAGCAACCTCATCTAGTGGGAGGTGTCCCTGCCCATGGGAAAAAGTAGTAAAATTGGTAGTTAATGGACTGATGTCTAATTTTAATTTAAGGTGACCTTGGGTTAGGTAACATGTAGTTGACGTGTAACCACATTAATGCCTCTAATCCTACATTGGTGTCGTGGTTTAACTAAACCCAGGCAGCAACTAAGCACCGCGCAGCCGCGCACTCCTTCCTCCCCGCTCCCAGAGGACGAGGAGGAGGATCAGAAAAAAAAAAAAAGAAAGGTAAAACTTGTGGGTTGAGATAAAAGCAGTTTAATAACTAAACTAAATGAAAATGTAGTAGTAAGAAAATATAATAGTAATGAAATGTAACAATACAAATTATTAATACAGCACTATTCTACTAAGAAAAAAAAAATTAGCTCTATCCTTGCTGAAACCAGGGCTTAGTTATCTGCTGTGTGGCTTGTGGAAGTAGTAAAATTGTAAAAGGTAGAGCACCTCAATTATGACCATATTCTTAAATGTATAGTAAATATTGATACATACTAAATAGATAAGGTGTTATAATTTTTTTATAAATCGTTTTTAGGGAAATGTGAAAGAGAATCTCATTGTTGATTAAAAGTATTCCAAAGAGGCACAAAATAACCAATATTTTCCATTCTACTACATTCCTTTCTAATACAGGTTAAGAGTTGCCTAAAACCAAAAAACCCTTCCCAAGCAGTGTGTTACTAACATGCGCAGATCAGAGTCGGCACAGGTAGAAAGATACAGGTGTGTTGGAGTGGCAGATTTATTGAAAGTATGCCTGTATTCAAGTGTGAAAATAGTTAAAATAATGAACAGTCTTAACCTGAAACTAGTCTGAAGCCCCTTCAAAGAGACCCCCCTGAAGTACTCGTGAGGTAGGCTGTGGTGTTGGTTTTATCACGTATGACAAAGGACTTGCTGAGGTGATGCTTTTCTTCCTGCAGCACAAGCTTTTTAAAGTTTATTTATTGACTTGATTAGTGCCAACGTATCAGGTAATGTAGTTTAGTGGGATAGTCTCTGATGTTTTTAATTTTCTTCCGCATCCTTTCCAATTTTCTTCCCTTGCTAAGGAGGAGAGAGCGTGATGTTGTCAGCTTGTGGCAGTTCTGTAGCACGTGGATCTCATGAAACTGCTGTTAAAATAAGATAAAAACGTGCGAACTGAAGCTGCACCAGTGTGAGTCGTGTGCGGTTACTTAGAGCTGCTTGAAGACCTTTGTTGTTCGCTGTTAGAGACCCTGGAAACCTCTTTTCCTCCTTTTCTTTCGATTTTTCGGTCAACTGCAATGCTGAAACAATTTCCACTTTTTATGTTACCTGTTCCATCTGTTGGGTACCAGTCATAGCTTGGTATGTGCTTCGTTTTTATGAATGTCTTATATTAAGCTTGAGTGTGAATGCTTTGATACTTGCTTACTCCTCAGACACTTAAAGAATTATTTACTTTTTGTATTTTGAAGTTTTAATTTTGGTATTTTTTTTTTAATCTGGTCGTTTGCCTCACAAATTGAACGTTTATAAGTGCTCAAGGAATTTACTGTGATACACTGTTCATATCAATTTTCAATTTTGCTATTGGAAAGTCTGTGCAAGTTGTGTAAGAGATTTGTAATCGTGACAGCAGTCTCTTTCAGAATAAGATTCCACATGCTCTGGTCAACAAATATATTTTTATTTACTTTTTTGGCTAGTTCTGTAGATTTATTTCCAGAACCTGAAGCCGTTGTTCTAACATCGATTATCATCTTGCAGTAGTTCTGTAGGTTAATGCTTTAAATTATTTATGCACTGTATTTCTGTTGTTGTTGTTGTGAATAATATCTAAATAGCAAAAACATTCTGTTACCTGATATTGAATCTGAAATATATTTTCTTCTAGAGAACTAGAGGACGAAAACGAAGCTTTGTGCCTGAAGAAGAAAAACCTGAGGTTGGAAAATAGTGTTTTGTTTGCTTTATTTTTTTTTTAAGAGTTTCACAAAAAAAAAGAATTAAACTTTGGGCTGAAGTGCTACTTCCAGTGCTATAATTGAAAATATTTGCTTTCCTTCCCTCCTTTCCCCCCCATTCCTTTCTTTTGCCTTCTGCTACCACAGGAACGAATCCCCAGGGAAAGAAGACAGCGACAATCTGTTCTGCAGAAGAAGCCCAAGTCGGAGGATTTGAGGACCGAATGTGCTACCTGCAAAGGGACTGGAGACAATGAAAATCTAGTCAGGTAGGTTTGATGCTCTGACCTTATAAGGAATTAAAGTTCCATCTTCATCACTCCGTCATCGTGACTGTAACAAAGAAAATATGATTTTTTGGAAGAAAAAACCAAACAAGAACTTACATAGGAGAAATACTACATCAGAAGGATTGACTTGATTCACTTATTGACCTGCCAGACACATTTACACTGTAGATTAAGATGTTAAAAATCAAGGTAATCTGTGTTTTTAACCCAAGAGAATTAATTTCCTCTTGTCAGGGTGAATTGTCAGTGATTTAGAGCAGGTCAGAAAGATAAACAAACCAGCAATTTAATGATATTAAAGCTACAAGAGCATCCTAAAAGTAATTAAATAAGCCTCATTAACAATTTTATGATCTGTAGATGTGGATTATGAGGAATTTATGATTTAAAAATGTATTAATGCAGCCTCCATTAATGCAGATCATCAAGGGGTTTGATAATCATGTTTCTTATCTGAAACAGGAGTGAAAACAAAATATCTATTGAATTGTGTTTTAGTAGGTGCAGAAATCTAATTTCACGTAGATGTAGAGTAACTGCCATTGAATAGCTAATGTTGACCACAACTTCTTCTGATTTTGACTTTATAGCTGCCATTGTGACCCTTTTGTGAAGGGTTAGGAACTGTTCCCAGTTCCTGAAAGAAGGATAATGGAGTTTAGAAATGAGACAGTGGATTTTAATTGAATCTACTGAGCTTTCATGAAAATGATCTTATAATAAGCTCAGATTAAAAAATAGCGTTGTACTTAGATCCTGTATGCTTCAACTAGGTTTTCCTGGACAAAATATCCTCTTTAGCTCATATGTAATTGTGGTTTTTAACTGGAAGGATCGTTCCAAAATACATCTAATTTATTTCAAGGAGTCAGAGTTACGACAGGATCAACGATACACTCGAGCAACGCGTAGCTTTAGAATCGGGATCCGTCCCAAGCACAGATGTGCTCAGAACAGCTGATTTTAGTATCAGCGTATGAATGACTGTAGAAGTTGATGCAACTTCAAGGATTGTGTGCCAGATTCTGTTTTTATTTCCAAGTCGAGGAGTTACAACCTCATCCGTAACTGTGTGACTCTCTCACACACAGGCAAGCTACCCCTGCTCCGTCCTCCTAGATCCTGCTCGGTGCCGGGCGGTAAAATACTGATGAGAGCTGCTGGCAGCAGTTTTTAACTGCAAGATAAAAAGCCTTTTTTTTGGCCCTGTCGTTTGCAAAAAATGCAGGAAGACCGTTTAGTTGTGCAAAGGAATCCTGGGAGTAACGTGTACTGTGCTCAGCTGCAAAAAAGGCAGCAAATTATTTTGCTTCTTCCTACGCCACATTTGGAGGCATAAAGGACGAAATGAGAAAGTGCTGTGAAGAACTGCTTTAGCTATTTAACTATTTTAAAGTTGCAATTAAAAAATACGGTAGAACGTTAGTGCTATGTCTTGTTTACTAGTTGAAAAGGTTTTAGTACTAATTCTGGTAGGCCAAAAAATAAACATACTGCGTGCCAACACACACCCAATTCCCTGTCCTTATAGGTAGTCCTGGAAGCAGAATCCTGCATGGGAGGAGTGAAGGAGTTTCTTATACTCTGTACTCAATACTGGGAAAAATATTTTCTTAAATCTTGCTTTCTGTATTAGTTTTTAAAAGAGGTAATGAATTTAAAACTTGCCTTTCTTCCGATAATCCCTACAAATAGCTGCATTTCACCCAAGTTAAGTGACCACTTACTGAGTGATGGTTTATAGTACTTTTGAGGGGGGGTTAGTATGTTTTTTTTTGGTTTTTAGACCTGTATTTCTCTTGATGAGAGTAAGTTCAGGGACTGTACTAAGATGCTGTCTACCAGGTAGACCTTCTGATGCGCAGCCAAAGCTGCGTAGGGCTGTGATCCCCAGAGCATTGCTACGTCAGAGAAGGTTTTCAGAATCCTTTCTTCTCTTCTGCTCCCCCAAAATAAGAGAAGCGACCTTCTGCCTGAACTACGTCTCTGCTGCCTGTGCCATCACGCAGGACTCCTTTGTCAGAGTAGAACGAGAGTGTTCCTTTAATTGCAAGTTGATAGGGCTCCCCGTAGGCAAGAAATAGTATTTTTGCAAAGTATTTTTTCAATATGAATTTTATTTGGCACCATCTGTTACCAAGGCCAAAACTTTCTCTAGAAAACTAGTATTTTCTTCACCCCCCAAATGTTTTCTAACTATTGGATTATATTTTCACCCTTTCTTACCAACCTACAAGTAAGAAAAGAGAGGTTTGTGGACATGTTTTAGATTTTTCTGCATGTGGAAGTTGGTCCCTACTTTAAATGGAAATATGCAGCTTCTGAAAGTGCAGATTTAAGGAATAGGCTTGATGGGTTTTAGCATTTTCTGCTGTGTGTTACCTCAGACAGGGCTGGTTACGTGGCTCTTGAACAATCTGGTTTTCAAAGTTGTAGGTTTATCTAAAATTTGTGGCTCGCACTTTGTGGTTCCTAAATGAGTAAGGATTAGATGAAGGTAAGCAATTATTTTTTATTTCAAAGAATGCAGCAGGGTATTTAGAAATGAAACTGGAATTAAAAAAATACTAAATTGTTCGACTACTTGAGTAATGGAGATTGAGACCTTGCACGTAGCGTTGGATAGCTGAGGGATTATTTGTTATACATGCAGTGTCTTTATTTAACCTGTTGTTCATGTGGTTAAAAACTTTAAATAATTGCTTGTGAAAGGATTGAAAATTCTTCCTAAAAATCGTTTTGTACCAAAAAAGTGTTTAAAGTTAGAATATCTTTAATTATTAGATTTTATTTTAACATATTGACATGTTCCCTACCTTTATGCATGCTAATAGTTTCCATATATAAAGACAGTGCCTTAATTAAAAAATGATTCACTGATATCAGATTATACAGACAGACCATTTCAGTCTAGCACATGCACTAGAACTGAAAGTTTAGATTTTGTGGTTTGCTCCACAAGAAAGGGTCAGTTCTGCGATCCTTTTGTGATACACCTTTTGTTTGGTTGTCGCCTGTTTTTTTTGTTTGTTTGGGGTTTGTTTTTTTTTTTTTTTAGAATTTACAGTGCATTTGTTTTGTAAATTCTTGTATATACCTCTGTGTAAGCTTTATTGAGGTAAATACTTCTGCTCTTTTCACCTTTTACAGGATTAGTGAGTGGCACAGTCAGGAATTACAAATTCGCTGAACACTGAAAAGTTAATTGAAAACATTTATTCCAAAGAGGCAGAGTCTGGTCTGTTGATGTTAATAATGACCATAAGGAAGCTATGTCTGTAATTAGAGAAAAGTAGATTTTGAATATCGTTTTACATGAACTGTAATTGAGTTTTGAGAGCAATAGTAAAACTGTGGCAGGTTTTTAGTGTTTTATATTTGATGCAGATAGGTTTGCTGCAAGACATGGAGACACAGCACTTAACAGATTAGAGTTCACTGAAAGGAGTTATAATGTGTGCTTGAAACTAAAGTATTGTGAAACCAGAGGACACCTGTAAGAACGCACCACTCGGTCCTAGGGAGTAATCAAATATTTAAAATCTTTGCTTGAAACTGAAGACATATTTTGAAATAGGGGAGTTTCTAAAGCCTGATGTGAAAACTCAGAAAAGACTCATAGGGGATTTATTTGTTTTTAGAGACTCCTCTGCTGTTTGGTTTAGAAAACATTTGGGTAATGATGTTTTTCTTTGGTTTCATTTTATGAACTTTTTAAATTTTTATATAGTTTAGACATGTGGTAGGTTTCTGGAGTTCCCTACTACAGTCTTGCATGAATCCCTTGGAATAATAGATCTTGCAGAGGAATTACTTGACTCCTAATAGTCCCCTTTATGACTTAATTATATTTGGTAGAAACATGGGTAAGGAAGTGTGTGTCAGGTGCCTCCATCTGCATCCTTGGCCTTCATCTCACACCACCCTCCAGAGTAAGTTGTACCCTGTACACACCAAGTGCTTCTAGCACAGTATTATTGTCTGTTCTGTTCTGGTGAAAGAAAAAACTAAGTTTAATTGTTTATCTTATTTTAATTTTTAGAGTAGGCTTTTAAAAAAGAATCCATAGGCTAATCTAGATTAAAATCCTCCAAGGGAAGACTTTGGAATTGCTTCACTTGTAAAGTAGTGGCCTCTCCTCAGAAAATAATCCCTCTCTGAACTGCTGCTATTAAGAAAAATAATATTACAGCTTCAGTTGTTGGCTTTAAGAAGTGCTTGGGTAATGTTTAGGAGTATTGTGCATTAGATAAAATAGATACCTTAATACTAGATTTGAGAAAAACAAAGTAAAATTAAAATATCGTTTATGTATGAGGCAAAATCATATTTGACCAGATTAAAGAAATCTTTAAAAAAACATTAGATTTATTCATCTCAAAATTTGGAGCATGCATATAGTAATACATTATTCTATGGTTTCGTGTGTTGAATTTTTAAACTTTATTCTCACAGAGGGTAAGATAGACTAAGGTCATGTATTTGAAATAATGTAGAGTAGAAGTTTTTGGAAACATAGGTTTGAATGCTGGTTATAAAGTATTCATAAAATTTAAAGCTGCAAATTATTAAACATGTATATAGTATTTATTTTTGATGTAGATCTGGAAGTTTTCTTTCTGGAACTTACTCTCACCATATGTTCTTAAATGCATTTGTCCTGTATAGGTTCATCGTTGCGTTTTTATTTCTTACTTTTGCATGGAGAGGGATATGCCAGCCTTCAGTTACAAGATTTCTCCTCTGGTAGCTGCTAGTTTTGAAGCTGAGGTTTAGTCCAGAACAAGCATATTAATTATTAGTTTCTTTAAATGCACTGCAACAAAATTAGCAGGCCATCATGGTAGTTGAAAGCTTTGATATATGGTAGTTTTAGAAGTTTAAGGCTGCTAGTGTAGAGATTAATCACAAGGAAAATATTAGTTAATTCTGCCACAGTTTGCAACAATCCTGTGTTTTACAGAGGATTGTAAATGCAT